ACGCTGCATGCATTTCGTACATCGGCTTATCTCAATACATTCCATATTGCCACATCTTCTATGCTGTTTCAGGTTGCCTCAGCCATTTCCAGGTTTTTATCTCCGCCGAAATTTATCTGAGTGGCTGGTGGGTATCTGTTTCAGCACCACGACCCGGGTTCGCTCACGCTCGCTGGTTCTCACCTGGAAGCACAGAAGGGTGTGGGGAAGCCGGCTTGTGGGTATCTGAGGGGGGGTACATGTGCGTACGTGTGTGGGGTGATGATGTCATCAGTTCTTCCAAACAGGATTTTAAGTTACTTCCATAATTACATAAATAGGAAAATAATTACATAAATGGGAAAACTGCGAACCTGTTCTCACGGGCAGTTTCCTGGGAGCCAGTCGACTGTGTTACATTGCTAAACTGAATGAGCTAATGCTAAAGGCAGCAGAGAGAAGTGCAATTTGTATACAGAATATGACATCTGGTTTCCCCTGGTTTTGTTCAGAGAACAAAGGCTTTGTTATGTATAAATGAGGATAAGACGGAGAACTGATGTGTTTGAGTTGTTGTTTCTTAACCTAAAATTATATGATTTATTAATCATCATCAGTTTCACACACGTCCTGTCTGTCTGAGTGTTTTTGAATTATTTCTAATTTTTGTTTCTTTTCTCTCTTGTGTTTTGTGAGTTTTTTTTCTTCACAGGGTCAATGCCATGGCGGGGGGGTGATGTTCCATTTCCACCTGGACCGACTGGGAGCTGCGCACCACCCCGTGCTAGCCTTTTCCAACTGGCGTTTCCATGGGATCTTTTTGAGGGAGGGACCAATTGTTCCAGCATCATCACATTCCACCTTGAGCAGGCCATGTTTCACAGCTGCTATCTTTCTGGGCGAGGGTTCTAAAACGCTACACCTTTGGCCCTTTTCTGTTCTAGTGTGGTTTCTGATCACACCCCCTGCCTTATTGACATAAAGAGAACAGAACTGTTTTTACACAGTGTGTGAATGCCTTTTGCCACACTGTTTGCATTTTTTCCGCCTCYRTGAAGCTATGAGTTGCCCGATCTGAAATACTGGACTAACCTTGTGYGTTTCTGACTGGCTTATTATTGTGCATCTTTAAATGCTCCACCAGTTTGACTGCAATGCATTTATGTCTGTGAACTGTTTGAGATTTCCTGTGTTTTTTTTTCCTCTCAGAGTCTGGTCGCCCTGGGTACCTGGGTTTGATATTTGGCTCCCCCTCCTGGGAATAAATACATAATTTTTAAATATTTCAACTTTCCCTAGATGGTTTGGGATTGTTATTTTTTATTTTATGTTTTGTTCTGTTAATTTCTTTTATGTTTTTCTAGAGTTTTTGTCCTGTGCAGCTCCCTGGTAAAGTTTAGATGACTGTCAGCTGAGTCTCGGTGAGATTCTTCCATCGGCAGTCATTTTTTTGATAATTTGTTTCTTTCTGCAGTTGTGGTAACCCGAGGTGGGGGTATTCTACTACCTCGAGCCTGGTGCCCACGAAGACGTATGTGAGGGAGACTTAGCCCGTCTGGGTTTTGCTGTTGAGGTCCGGGGAGCTGGGAATTGCTGTCCAAACGGCGTCTATGTCATTCACTGACGGACTAGATCTAGGCTTACTTTAGGGTTTAGCTTAGGTGTGACAAGGGGGGGAGGGGCTATTACCTTTAGTTTAATTTATTTAGACTTTAGGTTTAGCTTTTGTTTGTTATTTTTTGTTACACATTTGTTTTTTTTATTTTTTTCCTTGCACAAGCCGGCTCATGCCAGTAATCCATTGCACTATTTTTCCCATATTTCTCCATTGTGTCTGTTTGTTGAGTGATGTATTTGTGTTTAGATATTTCATAATTATTCCATTTGGTCTGGTTTTGAGTATTGTTTACTCAAGAGGAGGGATTGTCATGGACTAATTATTTATATCTGTTTCCCCTTGGCATTGTCCATCACGGTATATTTCTGATAGCTCGTTACGCTCTCGTTGTCTGGATAACGGGTCTCCACAATGGACTGGTGGGAGTCTGTGATTGGCGGGACAGTACTTTTGGCAGTCTGTGATTGGTTGTAAACTGACACATGGTGTTGGTATGATGTATATTATTGGCTGTGTTCTGCTGACGCGTCCAGTAGCAAGCAGACAGAACCTTCCTGATTCGGTTCTGTTTTGGTTGTTGCTCATTAATTAAACCATATTTGATTATCATATACGCAGACTTTTCTGGTTTATTCCAACGTGTTTCTGCTTTTGCGACGACATTTACCAATGAGAACCTTGGTTAATAAAGAAAGCAAAAAAATATAGATAAAACGATTCTGTCCCCACCGGCGGGGGCATGGGGCTTCTTAAGATTTTCTTTGATGATACTCTTTGTCTATGATTTGCTTGTATGTATTGTGAAGTTAATGTGATTTTGAGTTGCCTTCTTAAAGGCTGTCACACAATAATATTTTAGAAAACTTATGCCAATGTCTGAAAAAAATCCACTTGATTACTAATAAAAGTTAGATATTTGATCAATTTGTTAGTTTGGTAGAGAGATTGTAGACCATGTAGGACCTATGTCTAAATCAAAGAGTGAAAACCAGTTCCTTCTGACAAAAATTTGTGATTCCATTCAATTCCCTGAAGCTGTGCCCCTGAAGAGGATTACTGCTCCTGTCATCGCCAAAGCAGTTCTTTTCTGTATTTGGTCTTCCTAAAGTTGTCCAAACTGACTAGGGWACCTACTTTAAATCTAGGACTTTTGCACAGGCACTAAAATCATTAGGCGTAGAYCATGTTACTTACAGCTTTGACCATCCTGAAAGTCAGGGTGCACTTGAAATCTTTCACCAGACATTAATATCTATGTTATGTAAACACTGTGTGGATGCACACAGGGACTGGGATGAAGGTATCCCATTTCTATTTGCTGTGCATGAGGCAGTGCAGGAATCTTTGGGTTTTAGTCCTGCTGAACCAGTGTTTGGACATAAGGTTAGGGGACCTTTAAATGTTCTTTAAAAAACTGCTAGTTTTACCCTCTAAKATAGTTAAAAGTATTCCTGAGTATGTTGCAAAAATGACAGAACGCCTTAAGTCAGCCTGCACTTTAGCAAAGGATAACTTGACCTCCTGCCAAGTCAAAATGTAAAACACTATGACAGGAGAGCTATGGCTCATAAGTTTCATCCTGGTGATGTTTTGGTCTCCCTAGAAACAAAGTTTCCTGGATCGTATGTCATAGAGAAGAAAACCTACAGAAACAAACTACATTCTCCAGACTCCCGATTGTCATCGCTAGACTGGACTGTGTCATGTTAACATGATGAAGCTTTATTATTCAAAAGAAAATGAAAGTGATCTAACCACTGCAAGTGTGGTTGAATCTAGTTCTCCTGGAGCTTGCATAAAAGGAGTAACAAAGATGTGTGCACGTGCAAAGATGCACTTCAAGGTGCAAGAACTTAGTGAAGTTTTGACTAACCTACCCCACTATTTGTCTCGTTTACGAGGTAAGCAGGCCARTGCATCCAGAAACTTAWATCAGACTTTCCATGTCTGTTTGAGGATGTTCCTACCCAGACTGGGGTGATGTCTCATGACATTGTTCTTGCCAATTCTGCACCTACTGTATTAAGCAGCATGCATATCATGTCAATCCAACAAAAAGAGAAGTCATGAAAAAGGAAGTGGAGTACCTTGTTAAAATTGACTTGCTCTTCTTTGTTGTAGTCCATGRAGTTCTCCATGTCTACTGGATATGAAATCTGATGGAAATCCAAGGTTCTGTACAGACTTCTGAAAAATAAATGCTGTGACAGTTCTTGATGCACATCCTTTGCTTCTCATTGATGACTGTATTGATTAAATTGAACCAGCCATCTAGGTCAGTAAACTTGACATGCTAAAGGGATATTGGCAAGTTCCTTTAACAAAAAGGGCTTCCGAGATTTCTGCTTTCATAACCCCAGACAGTTTTCTCTAGTACACGGTCATGCCTTTTGGCTTGTCTAATGCTCCAGCTACATTTCAGAGACTTGTAAATAAAGTACTGGGTGAAGTGCCAAACTGCAGAGCGTATSTGGATGACATTGTTGTACACTCAAATGACTGGGCTGACCACCTTGCTACTTTGCCTAAGGTTTTCAAGTGCCTCTCTGTGGCCTCACTGACACTTAATTTTTCAAAGTGTGAGTTTGGTAAGGGTACCGTTCTCYATCTTGGCCAACATCTTGGTGGAGGAAACGTATGTCCTGTGGATGCAAAGATCAAAGCATTTCTGACTTCCCGGTTCCAACAGAAGAGAGCTTTGTTATTTCCTTGGACTGGCAGGATTCTACCRCCGGTTCTGCAAAAATTTTGACTGTAACTGCTTTGACCAGTCCATCAAAACGCTTTTCTTGGTCCAATGAGTGCCAACATACCTTTGAAATCTTAAAGGGTTGCTTTCTTGCTCTTCCGTTCTTGCTGCACCAGATTTCAACCATTTAAACTGGACATTGATGCCAATGCAGTTGAGTTAGGAAGATTTAGATATACAAGTTATTTATAGGAAGATAAGAACAGCATTGATCATCCTGTAAGTAACTTTTKGAGGAAGTTTAATCTTCATCAAAGTAGATGTACTACAATTAAGGAAACACTTGCATTACTCTTGGCATTGCAGCATTTTGAGGTTTATCTTGRCTTGAGTGTGGAACCCATAGAAGTCTTCACAGATCATAACCCACTTGTCTTTCTTTCCWAGATGTACAACAACAATCAGCAACTTAAGTGGCGGGATCTTATTTTCCAGGAATATAACCTCAGGATGTGCCACAAGAAGGGGTCAGATAATGTCTTGGCTGATGCATTGTCACATGCTCTATGACCCTGATTGTCTTTGAACATTCCAAACATCTTGTTTGGCCTTATAAGGGCAAGGGTGTTACATGTCTGGCAAATTGTTTTCCTCCTCTTTTCTTTTTCTCTCTTTTCAGGTTCAGGAGGTAGGCTGGAGCCAATTTGGATCTCTAAAAGCTGATTGGATGGAAAAGATTGAATGGACCAACCAGGACTCCACCACACCCGATCTAAGAAGCTCACCTGGAAGTCTGGGCTGTCTTCTCCTCCCTGCTGCTGCTGGTGATTGCTTGGTGAACCTGTGCTGCTGCTGTGAGCCTGCTCTATTGTTTAAAGGTTTGTGGTGGGAGTTAAGCAGACTAGGTAAGTTTGGGGTACCCTGTACATTTTCATCATGCAGATAACTGGTGATGGGTAGATAAGGCGTCATGAAGCATTTTAACACTTGGACAAACTGTATTAATACTGTGTCACTGAAAATAGACACCTACTGGACCTTAAAAATCCYTGCAGGCAACCTAGTTGACAGACTCAATTGACACCAACAGTGAAGAAATCTTTGGCCCCACACGGTGTCCCGGCATGTGGTTGTGCACCTCTGAATATATGTTAAGGCTGAGCTCGCTGCGCAACATTCAAACAATTTGTCAAGCTTTTKCTCTCCTATTGACAACATTTCACGAGTTATAAAGTGTACTACCACATGTCCTTTTGGAGAATACTAATATAACATAAGCGCCAAGTATAAACACCTTCAACGCTGGCGATGGTGTGCGTGTACCCTGTGCGAGTACCCAAAGTGTGACTCAAAGCCTTTTGGCRCGTCAGTGTCAGTTCGAAACAGTTCCTGTATCGGTCACAACACTTTCTTTAGTGATACTAGCACTGACACGTGGTTTTACTCTATGAGCTTGACGCATCCGCTGACACATCACTACAGATAATTACAGTATATTAAAAAGAGTAGTGAAGTAGGTTGGTGCACCAATGTGATGTTTTGGTGAAAMTTCTTTTTTAGATAAGTTTATCAGGGTATTTTTATTTAATTGCTTTCCATTTAGACCAGATTGTAGACAGACCCTGTTTTGTTTTGCTTGTTTCTTTAGTTTGGCACTACCTAATGGTCCCTTTCTCCCCCACATGTTGTGCAGCCTTTTGGAGCAGAATAAAAAATAAAACTGTTTTTACACCATTGCAGTGACTCATGTGTTTATTGTGGTTGTCGTGTTGTTGCCCTGTGTTAAAAAAAGGGGTCATAACAGTTAGCATAGCAGTATGTACATGCCTAAAAGGGGCTTCTGGTTTATTTTTTCTAGTTTCATCTTCAATATCTCCAAACCTTTCACAARTTGGCATAARGTGTCTAAAGTAGTGTGACAGAGCCTTCACAGTCTATCATCTCATTTCCTTTGTTTTATATGTGCTGGTACTACTAGAAATGCCATTGTTAAACTTAAAATCATCCTTTGTATTCTGAATAATACGTAATTGTCTGGCCTTCTATTTGAATGCTTGTGTTTTAAACTCATCTAGAGGCGTTCAAAGAGCACACACCCACCAACACACTAGGTTATGTAAATTAAAGCGTACAGCTGCTGAGMTGTGATTTGTGGAGTAAAGTTCTGCTGGATGCTGATTGGCTGTCATAGAATGACATCATCAGTAAACTGCAGCCTCTGTCCCTGTTTAATTTTCAGTTTGTGTCAGATCACAGAAAGCTGCAGCTCTAACAGATGATCAGCACTAAAATTCAATCATTTTTTCTTTGTGATGACATGTCCTGAAATTTTTATTGAAATATGCTCACAATTTTTGGAAKAATCGTGTTCACAGAAAAACTCCAAACTAATGCTATCCTACCTGGTAGGTCATGTTGAAGACTTGGTGAAAGAGTATTATTTAATTATAAGCATTCATGATTTGAAATGTGCTAAAATGAATAAGTGATTATCAATAAAGATTTACAAAAATAAAACAAAATTCTAAAAATAGACAAAAAAAATCTGAATCTATTATCACTTCGTAGGYAAAAAGGAAAAGAAGATAGCTGAAATTATATTTACCTGGTTCTGTGGTTTTCAATTTAAGCTCCTTCAGTTCAGTCTGCATCTGTAAAATTCTTTCCATTTGGCCAAATGTAAATGTTGTAGTTTTATAACTTTGTGGCTTCTCCTGGTCAGAAACTTGTTTTTCCACAATCTTAAAGAGTTCTGGGATCTGCTGCTTGTTCTTGCTGTTCAGGACAACATATCTTCCTCCACAGCTCTGACAGAGCTCCTGGATCTCCTTGGTCTCCTTTATAAAGTTAACAACAGCTGGAGCTGCAGGATCTGAGTCCACAGTGAACAGAATCATGRTTARGTCTTTGGCTCGAGAGCTGAATGTGTCCTGGATGGTCTGTAACTCTCCCTTGTCTTCATCAGTGAGGGGACCCACAGGTAGGACCAGGATGAAGGCATGGACCCCCTCAGGATCACAGAGGGCAACACATCTGAAGGATTCCTCCATCACTTCCTCGTGTGGTTTGTTGAACAGAGGAGGCATCTGCAGCACAGAAACCCAACGTCCATACACCTCTCCCTCATGTTTAACACACTCTGATGGGCTGGATTCTGGATGAAGATCTGTCTGATCTAAAATGGCTTCAGCTGCTGAAGTCTTTTCTGCTCCCATTCTTCCAAACAGAACCAGGTTTAAAGGTTTTATTTGTTCTTTAWTACGTATGGAGAGTTCAGTGTTTTTATTTGCTGTTTGTTCAATAATTTGTTTTGGTCTTTTGAGTTCAGTGAATGTAAGGAAAGTTTCTTGATTTTTCTGCACAATGTCCTCAATTTCCTTCATCAACAGCCTCTTATTCAAGTGTTCTTGTGATAAACTGGTTTTCTGTCCAGGCTGCCCACTTCCCATAAAGTTAGAATGGGAAGGAGCTCTAGCCCCACCATGACCCTGAAAGGGTTTAAACCTGTTTAAAAAAGACACACTCGTTTGAATGTTTTGTCCTTCTTCAAACATGTTGTAATGTCTTCCTTCACAGTCTTTAAGAAGTTCACAGACRGACTCAGAGTTTTTCTCCTTGTGTGTGATGATGACCATTGAATATCTGAAGGCATCTTGACCAAACAAACTCAGAATGAACTTGAGTGTTTTTGCATTCTTGTCAGTAAACTCAGAAGATCTCACTAACAGCAGCAGGACATTTGGACCAGGAGGACAGAGACTCAAACAGATCTTCACTTCTCTTCTTATGTTCTCCTCTGACAGATCCAACATGGACGGGGTTTTCACTACTGTTACTGGTTTTCCACYCCACTCTCCACTGAAGGTCACACACTCTGCTGGTTTCTGGTGGGAAACATTTTGGGACCCAATGATGAGTTGAGTGAGTTTTGTCTTTTTGTAGTCATTTTTTCCCAACAGCACAATCCTGAGTTCTGAACCTGTAACACAACAGGAGACATGTAAAACCTCAAAATACCTGCTAAAGACATCGAACGTTTGGAACAAATTGAAATTGACAGAAATAATTTATAAAAATGACTAAAAAAATAAATTATAATAGTGAGTCACTGCTTTTGAATTTTGGTTCAACATAAATGTTAAAAAAACTAATAAAACTGACATTGACTAAAAAGATGACACTCTGGAATGCTATAAAGTTTACTTATTTACTAACTTTGTAGTCTGCCTGTTTCAAGACTGACAGGTAGTCACAGGACTATTTTGTACCATGGTGTGTAAAAGCTGAGTCACACTACAAGATTTTGAACCAGTCGGCCGATTTTCAAATACTGAGAGCCCACACRTGAGGATAAAAAATCATGGATATACCAGGTTTGGTCCTACAGTGTGTGGTGTACAGCCACACAGCAAGAGACAACACACCACACACAAAAAGATATTTCATTCATGAACTGTCAGWTGTCAGATACTAAATCATGTGAGACTTCCTGAAATCTCGCGAGAATTCATATGTCCGAGGAAAAATCTCACGTGACCTCCAGAAAGACGTGAGTTCAGAGTAAATAAACATTTGTGACGAGGAAAAAGCAATGTTGATCATTTGTGGACTATTTTTACCAGAGAAAAAACAATTGTATAGGACTTTTAACATCCAGCAGACTTTCTGGTGAGTCATGACAGGATTTTTGTCTTCTGTATTTGGATTCCCCTCCACTCAGAGGTCAGGTGTCGACATAACCATTGTTTAGGTTTGGACAAACAGATCCTGGTGTCTGACTGAGAGTGGCTGCTCGCAGCCTTGAATCACTCTACCAAGGCTGCCCGCAAACAGTTTGTTCGTCAAGCGTTTGCTCTCCTATTTGCAACATTTCATAAGTTATAAAGTGTAATGCTGCATGTCCTTTTGGAGAAAACTACAACAACATGAGCATCTGGTGACAATGTGCATCTCCTTCTCTGATGACGATGTGCGTGCCCGGCGTGAGCTCCCAAAGCGCAACTATAACCGAACCTTCAGGGCAGGTGCTCGCTCTCAGGAATACTGTCAGTGTTTCCTGGACTATTTTCCACCAAGGATTTGATATATTATGTTTCTGAAAGCACCTCTCAGTATTTCCACCGTAACACTGTGTTCACACGCACAACAACACTGTGAGAGATCACTTGACTGTTGTTTACAAGCAGAGGCTCAGAGGCAGCTGGACCACATCTCCACCTACAGACCCACAGAATTTTGACTAATCTTGTACACCAGGGGTGCCCGACCAGTCGCTCGCGGGTGACTGGTCGCCCGCCAGCTGATTCCCAGGTGCCCGTGAAGCGCAACTTGCTCTAACAGCTGACGAGAGCTGTCGTCAGCTGTTAGAGCAAGGTTGTGCTCCTGTCGGGAGCTCGCTGAGCTTCATTCTAACTCCGGCAGAAGCAGTGGAGGTGGGAGGAGGAGAGCAGAGGGAGCGCGTTCAGGAATGTAAACTCCTCCCGCCTCCCACCTCCACCGCTTCTGCCGGAGTTATAATGAAGCTCAGAGGAAGGTAATCTCACGAGTTTTGGGTGCTGTGAATCAGCGCTCCGAACATGATCTTGCGAGACTTTAGGGTCACGTGTTTAAAACATGATCTTGAGGCGAAAATAGTCAACTACAAACGAGCTAAAGAGCAAACAAAAACTTATTATTTTCACCTGGAGTGGGAAGAGGACTCATATGTAATTCGAGCGCTGCCTTGTCTAAAAAGGATAATGTGGAGCGGCATTTCAAAACAAGGCACGGATTTCCTCCTAAAACTGCACAGCATTGATTTTCACACCAGAGCTAAGGCTAATGTAGATCATCCTGACTCAACACAAAAAAGGTCTTTCAGCAATGACCAAGTTATGAAAGAAGTGTTTGATGCTGCAGACATGCTTTTCCGTGATTTTAAAAATAAAAGTGAGATTGAGTCAGCTATAAAGACCTTGTCCAGGATGGTGGACATTGTGTCCAAATTCATGTCCGTGTTTCAGCTGGACTGCTCTGGTGTTAAAAATGAGGTTTTGACTCTGCAAAATGACATTGGGATCAAATCCTGAGCAACAAGTCACATGGATGGAGAGTTCTGCAGTCTGCTGTCAGAGGAAACGTATCCTAACATCAGAAGAGGTGCTTTGAACTTGACAGAACTTTTTGGATCTACCTGTGTGAGTCTGCTTTCTCTCACAGGAAAATCACCAAGTTCAAGAACAGATTCACAATAACTGATGATCATCTGGAGACCTGCCTGCGCCTCATCCACCTCATACTGCCCGCCCTGGTTCCTCCTCTCAGTGTCAGAGGTCCCAATAAGGTAGAGACATTTATTTTTATATAGCCTGCATGAAAAGTTTTCTCCTCTAGATTTGTCACATTGTGTCTGTATGTTGTTTTTTTTAAAATATTTTTATGTTATTGGTTTTATTACATTTTAGACCAGACTGACTTACACCTTTGTGTTTATTTATTTATTTTGCAGTTTGGGTGTGCCCTTGTTTTCTGTACCTAACGTGTGTGTGTGTGTGTGTGTGTGTGNGTACTCTTGTTGTAGCCATGTTGACCCTGATAGTTTTTTGTTTTGTTTTTCCTCCCCTGTATGGAGAGAAGAGAGGAGAGTTCTTTGAATAAATGGAGACGAGTTCCCGTGCTCCAAAGTTATTTAAGTCTGTGGTTCTCAGTGTGCAGGTTTCCAGCCCTCATAGTTCGCACGTTACAGTGAGTACTAACTGAAGGAGATAAAATATTGATCCTTTTTGTTCGAGCATCRCTTTTCTGTTTCTCTGTCAGGAGTTAAAAATTTTATCTTTTTTTTGTAGGTAAATACATGGTTAAGTAGATTGTTTTGTTTGACAATACTTTAAATTAAATAAAACTGCAACACATTACGTTCTGTTTTATTTACTTTAAAGAAGTGAGAAGTAGGGAGACGAAAAATTATGTTTTTTGATACTGAGACTGGATGAGTAGSTCTCGGCAAACTGCCGACTTCAAAAGTAGCTCTTGGTTCAAAAAGGTTGGGCACCCCTGGTGTACACAGAGAAACCAACCAACGCTACTGAAAACAAACCCTCTTCAGTGGAGGCAAAAATGAGAATATTTGGAACAAACAGTTTTACTCAGTTCCTTTTCAAACACATTTCTGTACTTACCTGCATCTTTAGCAGCAGCTCCATCAGTATCTGCAGAGGTATTCTGTGTTTGATGATCAGCTGATGAGGTGGATGAAGGGTTCTGAAACTCTTCATAGATCAAATGTTTTCCACTGTTCTCTGTTATAATTTGATCAAAGCAAGTCAGCAGGTCTGAATGTTCAACATTGTCTGAAATTAAATATCTGTCTTTACATTTYCTGACCAAGTCCTTTAATGGAGGATTTTTTATGTATTTTCCCATCAAACCTGAACTCCTTTGCTTCGGTGTCAAAAATATCAGAGAATGCTGAAATGCTTGATAATTGAATTTTTCAAGCATTCTGCAAAGCCTATTTTTGTCTTCTTCAGTGACTTCTTCAGGTTGTAGAACCAACAGGAACACATGAGGTCCAGGAGCAGAAGCTTCCACACAGTTTTTAACAAACTCCGTCAGTTTTTCTGCTGTAGAAATCTGCACATCTGGAGTATTGATGACAGATATTTTTTTGTTTTCCAAGGTCCCACTGATTTTCACATAGGAGTTAGATGTGCTGTTGAAAGTGTTTTCTTGCAGGATGTAGTTTCCTACTGAACATCTTTGAGACAATCTACTCCCCAGCAGAACTATCCTCAGCTCAGACACTGAAATTACAAACATTTATAATTTACCTGAAAGTGCAGTTAATGAAACAATATAAATAATAAATACTGCATTTCAAAAAATAGCTGTTTAGAGAGAATCAATTTACCAGTAATTTTTGTATATGATATACATGAATAAACATGTATGGCCTTGTTTTGGTAAGATTTATCAAAGCTGATTTGAGTCATTTTAACAGCTGAACTGATATTTACTTCAGATATAAACTTACAGTAAGGCTTTATGAAACCATAGCTGCTTCTTCTCCTCAGAGGCTGCATATCTGTAAAAACAGATGCAGACTCATTGACAGCTTTGGTAATGTTTATTTAACATAGTTAAAAACAACTTCATCAAAGTCTTTTACAGTGAAATGAGACAGCAATACAGTTACACAATAAATACAGTTACACAAATGAATGGAAGTCAATACAATGTCCTCAGTTTGATGCAAGTACAAGTGGGGTTAGGTTTAGGACCAAGATTTAGGTTAATTTTAGGGTATATGGTCAGGGTTAGGATATAAAGTAAAAACTAAAAATCAATGGAAGTCAATGGAAAGTCCCCACAGGGTTCAAGAACAAACGTGTGTGTGTGTGTGTGTGTGTGTGTGTGTGTGTGTGTGTGTGTGTGTGTG